TATATATATATATATTTGATGAGTAGTATTTTTAAAAAATTTAATTGACCAAAAGGTTACAAAGATTTATAATCAATTAAAAGTATTAATGAAAACAATAGAATAAAAATTATTAAATTAGATTCAAATGAATGTTTAAATCTTGCACCAATCCTTAACATCTCATGGCTACTTGATTACGGTTGTCAAAACGACTCTTTGTTCGTGAACGACTCTTGTTTGGCCTCGCTAAGCAAACGAGCCGAACACGAACACACTTTTTGAGCTCGAAATATAAACGAGCCGAACACCAGCTGAGCCTAGGCTCGCTCGTGTTCGTCTCGTTTACACCCCTAGCAACAAACACTACCGCACTAAAGTTTTTAAATAATTTATAGAATTAGTGAATGTAAACTTTTTCATTAAATTTGTTTGTAAACTCAAAAATATTTTAGCTAAACATGGTAGTCAATAATGTTTGAAATGTGTTGTCAAACTAAATTTTAAATTAAACTGAAATTTTGTTTTACATAAGAGGGTCGTAATGAAAGTATTTTAATCTTATTACATAAATATCAACATCTAAAAGGGCCTTAAGTTGATGATCACCATTATTAGTTCTTCATGATGACCTGAATTTAGGCACAAATGCCATATCAACATTAATCTGAAAAAAAACAAAATAAAATAAAATAAAAATCAATACTCGCATATGAATTCCTTAACCTTCACTTCACTGAAAGAAAGATCTGTGTCGATTGCGTTCCAGCCGAGCCTCCCTCTGTGAACATTGAAAAGATAGTTATAACCCATTAGCATAGTTATTGAGGAATTTGATGAGCTGAGACATACTACGTTTAGACGATGGATGCGCGAACGACGGCGTGAATTTTACCACACCAACGAACATACGTCATTGTGTGATTCAGGCCGTCGTCTGCACGTCTGATAAACTGGACGTAATATTTTCTCAAATGAATGGGCCACTTACATATATACAAGACAATCCCTATATATTTACATATCTAAAATCTAAACAATTATTTTTATATGCAAGCCACTCGAATCTTTTAACAACCCATCAAAATTATGACCATCAGTATATTTCTAAAAGTGATACACCTTTCCATGCATTGCATGGGTTTATGACACTAAAGTGTTATTAGTATAAATATTAAAATTGGGGTGTTGGATGTGTAAAAATATAAGCATTATGTGGTATGTATGTAAATCTTCCATTAAAAAGGATTAAGGCAGGATGCTTATGCCAAGGCTGTTTTCAGTTCATTTTAGAATAGCTTCACTAAAATATTTCAAACTTCATATATCAAAGTCAAATCATATCGATTACACATGGCATGTACATATAAAATATTTCAAACTTCATAGCACTCAAATCTCTAATATCACATTGAAAATACCACTTTTCCTAACTTTTTTTATAAGTCAAATGCTTATTTTTATGCATAAGTTTATAGCACCATGATTTTATAAATGTAAATATCAAACTCTAAGTGTTAGATATGTAAATCCATAAAAATTGTGTGGTAGGTCCGTAAATTTCCTTTATTTATATTGGCTTGTAGAAGATTGAAACCAAAGTAAGCCGAAAATCTTACGAGGTCACACTATACAACATTATAAGGTTACTAATGAAAAGAATGAATGTTGAATATTGCAGAAAAAGAAAACAATCATTTAATCAAAGGTTTCAAACTATTGAGCTGAGACAACGAGGCATGTCTATTTATAAAAATAAGGGGCATTTACATACACACCACATAATTCTTATGAATTTACATATCTAAC